CAGGCACCCTTGTGCCCACCAATCAGCCTGGGAAACTGATCGGGACAAGCAGGCTTGCGGCACCAGCCTGGAGACCCAAAGCCCTTGTTAGCCGGGTTCTCTTCCAGATTCTGGCTGGGCAGCCGAGAGTGGACCTGACCGATTCCCAAGTCGTGGGAGCCTCTCCTCAACCGGGAAACACGATCGATTGCTGTTGTTTTAGGGCCCAGAGTTCAGTCTCCTGGTCGCTGCACGGTGTGTGTTGTCCCGCTTCTCAGACACGGTGTCCTCCCTGTGCCGCCATCTTGGCCCCCCCGAAACTGAAAATTTATGTACAGCAAAGGACACTGTCATTTGGACAAAGCAGCAGCCCACAGAATGGGAAAACATTTTTACCAACCAAATATCCAATAGAGAGCTAATATCAGTAATATATAAAGAACTCAAAAACTAGGTGTCAAGAAAACAAATAATTCCATTAAAAATGGGATGAAGATCATAACAGAGAATTCTCATTATAGGAAACAGAAACAGATAAGAAACAAAGAAATATTTAGCATCCTTATTCATCAAGGAAATGCAAATCAAAACTACTTTGAGATTTCATCTTACACCCACAAGAATGGCTAAAATCGATAAAACAAATGACAGGTCTTGCTGTCAAGAATGTGGAGTAAGAGTAACATTCAGTGATGGTTGGTGGGAATACAAGCTTGTACAGCCACACTATAAAAATCAATATAGTGTTTCTTCAGGAAGATGGGAATTGATCATCCTCAAAATCCAGATATACTAATCTTGGACATATACTCAAAGGATGCCTCATATTACCACACAGATATTTTCTCAACCATTTTCATTTCTGCTCTATTCATAAAAGCCAGAAATTGCTGTAAATATAGATGGCCCTCAACGGATGAATGAATAAAGAAAATGTGGTACATTTACAGAATGGAAGATTACTCAGCTATTATAAAAAAAATGAAATCATGAATTTTTCAGGTAGATGGGTGAATGTAGAAGAATTCATCCTGAGTGAGGTAACGCAGACTCAGTCAAAGATGGTATGTGTTTCCTTAAGTGTGGATAGCAGTTGTCGAGTCAATGAAAAGCAAGCTACAATCTGTAGAAAGAGGTTAGATATAGACTAAAGAGAAACAGATAGATCTTGCTTAGAAAGTACAAAGAGTAGATGGTTATGGATCGATTGTGAGGGAGGTGGGTTGGAAGGGGAAGACCAAATAAACATGGGAAGTAAAGGAGATGAGGGAGGAACTAGGAGGGAGACAGATAAAATTAAGGGCTATTTGAGGGGCATAAAAGAAACAATACAGTGGAAGCTTTCTAAAATTTGTACATATATGAAAATGATCTAAGTGAACTTGCCAAATAATGAGGGAGACAGAGCACCTATTAGACATCTCTTGTCACCAAATGAGGCTTTCAGTGCTGGGAATGGATTGCATCTAATTAAATTATTGGCCAAAGGGGTCCCGTGAAAACCCTTCAACAACCCAGGCTCTTGCCAAGAAGTTACTCTCCACAAACTGAGAGTAAGGTCCCATTGTTGAAGACAATACCCACATAATTAATTGAACATGGAAAAATCAAGCTGGTGCCGACATAGAGCCTTCACCCCAATGTGCTAACATCTTTGGTACAAGAAGGCACTCTGCAGCTACAAAAAGAGAAATATACACAACTAACAACCTATAAACTCTGATCCATAATGATATCTTGCAGGCAAGATATGCTAGTGCAATGGTGGCACAAAACTCGGTGTAAACAATGAATACTTGATTTGACATAAGGCCAGCTCCACAAGATAGGACCCATGCCAGACAATGCTTCAGTGGCCAAGAACCAAGAACCTGAGACCTGAAACTAGGTAGCTTAGGTACCTAGGGTAAAATAAGATAATACTAATTTATATGACAGAAAAATTAGTTGCAGTAAAATGACTCCTAATGAGTCATTTTCTGATATAATCATAGTGCCTTATTCAACCATAATTAGAGATACTTCTTCTTGCATGATGGGAACAAATAGAGAGACCCAGTGCTAGATATTGTGCAGAGACTGAGAGACCTTAGGAAACTCAGCCCTAAATGGGATGTCCCCATTAAATCCAACCCTATACCAAGGCTCATGGTGCCTTGTGGAAGAGAAGGCAGAAAGAGTATAAGAGCCAGAGAGCATGGAGGACACCTAGAAAACAAGGTCCTCTGAATCAACAGGACACATATGAAGTCACCGAGACCAAGGCAGCATGCACAGGGCCTCAGGCCTGTACCAGATGAGGTTCTAGAGCTGAAATTGTAGAAACATGCTCCCATTCCTAACACAGAAGCAATCTCTGATGAATAAGTACTTGCCAATGAAAATATTTCCTCCAAGGGAATCTAACTGGAGAAACGAACTCCTCTTTTTTTTTTAATTTTATTTTTCTCATTAGTTACATTTTGTTAATTCTGTATCCCAGCTGTATCCCTCATTCCCTCCCCAATCCCTCCCTCTCTCCCACATCTCCTCTCTGCCCCTTTCCAAGTCCACTGATAGGGGAGGACCTCCTCCCCTTTCATATGACTACATTTTGTCAGGTATTTTCAGGACTGGCTGCAAAGTCCTCCTCTGTGGCCTAACAGTACTGTTCCTCCCTTGGGAGGTGGGGAGGTCAAAGAGTGAGTTCCTGTTAGAAATAGTCCTTGTTCCCCTTACTATGGGAAACCAATTGATTACTGAGCTATCACAGGTCACATTCGAGCAGAGGTTCTAGGATTTATCCTCTCACGGTCTTTGGTTGAGTGTCCATCTCAGAAAAGACCCTGTGCCCAGATATGTTTGGTCCTTATGGAGCTCCTATCCTTTCCACATCAAACTCCCCTTCTTTCATATGATTCCCTGCACTCTGCCGAGGGTTTGGTTATGAGTCTTAGTATCTACTTTGGAACACTGCTAGGTAGAGGCTTTCAGATGCTTTCTGCGGTAGACTCCTGTTCAATGCATATCCCATTTGTCTTTCTAAATGAGGATGGATCATCATACCCCGTGTCCACTTTCTTGATTATCTTCTTTAGGTGTATAGATTTCATTATGTTTATCATATCTTTTAGGTCTATATAAGCGAGTATATTCCATGTTTGTCTTTCTCCTTCTGGGATACATCACTCAGAATGATCTTTTCTAGATCCCACCATTTGTCTGCAAATTTCATGATTTCCTCTTTTTTGATTGCTGAGTAGTATTCCATTGTGTAAAAATACCACAATTTCTGTACCCATTCCTCTATTGATGGACATCTGGGTTGTTTCCAGGTTCTGGCTATTACAAATAAAGCTGCTACAAACATGGTTGAGCAAATGTCCTTATTGTGTACTTGAGCAAATTTTGGGTATATACCTAGCAGTGGTATAGCTGGGTCTTGAGGAAGCACTATTCCTAGTTGTCTGACAAAGTGCCAGATTGACTTCCAAATAGGCTGATCCATATGTAGATTTCTCAGCTACCTCCCCAGAACATGTTTCCCTGCAATCTGCCCGGCTTCCTGTCATGATGATAATGTACTAAACCTCCAAAACTGTAAGCAAGCCCTAACTAAATGCTTCCTTTTATTTACAAAAAAAAAAAAAGTAGGCTGCATGCTCTGTAGTAGGTCAACAGAAAATGAACTTAATGGCATCTTTGGAGGTCTTTCTTGTCTCATAATGTTGTCATAGATTTTCCTTTTTGCACGTTCTGTTCATTCTGTTCCTGCATCCTCTTTGGGCTTTTTCAAAACTAATGTTTTGTCCTATTCCAGTGTGAGTTTTGTTTTATCCTATTATATTGCATTTTAATAATATCCCTTAGAAACCTATTTGTTTTCTAATGAGAGACAGGAAGGAGATGGATTTGGATTGGAGGGAAGGTAGGGATGAACTTGGAGGAGTATAGGAAAGAGAAACTGATCAGGATATATTATTAAATTTTAAAAATCTCTCTTCAGTAAAAGAAAAAAATTAAAAATCCTTGTTTTCCATGTGCCACCTGGTGTCAGGCTGTGTACTTTTCATAAGGGGTAGGGAAATGCTTTAAAGTCCTCATTCAGGGATTCTATACTGGAAAAAACCCTGCAATCCAAATGCATGTATTTTTATCATTAAAGAACCATCACAGAAAAGTTAGCTTTCCACTTCTGGAGGACTTGTTTCATCTCTTTGGCTATGTTCTAGTGTCATATCAGCTGCTGTGACATGGGATGGAAGCAATCCAGAAAATCATACAGCTCTTCATGTAACATCAGCTTAGAGCAGAGAAAAACAAGTACATCTACACTGAAAGCTGCTGACTAGCTTTCATCTAGTTTTCTCCTTTGTCATGTAACTCACACCTGCCACCTAGGGAATTTTGCCATCCATAATGAGATGGGTCTTCCTACATTGACTGAAAATTAAGACAGTCCCTACAAATGTGCTCACAGTCCTGATATAGGTGATCTCTCAAATGACGCTCTTAGGTGATGTACGTTATGACATGGCAAGTTGACATTTGAAACAAAGCAGCACAGGCTGTAAGCAGCGTCCTTTACATGGTCTGTTTAGTGCTATTCTCATATTTCTGTAGTTCTTGTCGATTCAGTTTAAAACTGTCCAATAGCATGCTTGATGGCCAGTGTTCTAAATCCAAGAGGCTGCCATGTGCCTTACAGAGAAAATGGTTTGTGTTAGATAAACATGAGTTTGTACCTGTTGGCTATGAGTTCAGTGTCAATGAAACCAGTGTGTATTCAAAGATAGTCTTTAAGCAGAAACACATAAACAATGTTGATGGAACTGTTATGATTGTTACAACACATTGTAATGGCAACCTAACCCTATAATTTTATCAGAAACAATTTAGAACTCACTAATTTATGGTTACAAAAAGAGTGTAGAAAATAACTACTGAAAAATATATTATAATTAGCATTTAGCTAATATACGAAATAATAACATGTGTTCTACTTTCAGTTCTGCTGCTGTGGCTAAATTCCAGAACACAAGCAACTTAGAGAAGGGTTTATTTATGTTGCAATTCCAGGTTACAATGCATCATTGAGGGGAAGTCAAAGCAGAAGTTTAAGCAGTAAGTTACACCATATCCTGTCAAAAGCAGAAAGAAAATAAACACATGGATCTTTGCTTGTTTATTCTCAGTTAGCTTTGTCTTCTCAGATAGTATTCAGGACCCTGTGCCTAAGGGGTGGCACCACCCCCAAAGGGCTATGTCATCCTCTTATCAATTGACAGTAAAGACAATCTGCCACAAGAATGTCCACAGGCTCCCCTGATCTATATATAATTCATTAAGATTCCAGGTGATTCTAGGTTGTGTCAAGTTGACACAAGTTAAACTAACTAGAAAAGCTTATATCCCATGAATCTACAGCTAATAATCTGAAACTATGGACAAAATGCAGTTTTGCTAGTGAGAGCAATTCCAGTCCAGTGGGCAGGATCATGAGCCTGAGTCTCTAGTTTAGCTCTCCTTTTGAACTGCTGGATATCCTGGTAGACATCAATCTTTTCTGTTAAAGTGAGGAAACTGTGCTTTTGTAAAAACAGTATCTTTCTTGAGGGTTCATAAGGATGGGCTGAGGTGCATATAGGAGTGGGATACTCAAGAATGAAGACTGACCCCAAAGAAAAATGACCATTTCTCCTCTCACAAGAGGAAAGAAGAGACTTACAATTTGCTATTCAAAATCAATTGAAAAACATTGTTTCTATAGCGCCATCAAATTTTAGATTCTCTGTGTTTTGACAGATAACACCACATGCTTCCTTAGCAAATAGGGAGGTTGGGTAGAACATGCCTATGGCCTGAATTTAATATTTAGGTATGCTTGTTGAAATATAGTTAGTTTAAAAGCATGTTCTCAAGGGATTGTCAGTGTCTTTAGATGAGGGCCTCGGACTCCCACGTCTTCTTTCATCTGGCCAAGGGTTGGTTAGGAAAGAACGGCAAAGATTTTATATTCTTATGATACAGACAGGAACAAGTTCTGGACCGTCACTAATGTAAAATTCCATCCTGATTACCCTTGCAGCTGCTGGATGGGGAGCAGTAATCTCTGCCCTCATCAAATCCATACAGCTCACAAGTCAAAGAATCACCCTAATGTGAATTTTGATCAAGAGAAACTTTCCGAATTGACAGTGGTTTCTGTATAAGTCATCAGAGATATGCAAAGTATTATGGTTAGATATGTCTAGATTAGATTCTTCGAGAATCTAAGGCAGGTGGTAGCAGGGGCCTTTGTCGATAGTCTGACTGCCAGCACATCCAACGCCATTTTTCACCCACACTGCTCTGATGTGATTCACATGAGGTTCTTGCAGCAGAAGTAAAGGACTTTCTGCAGCCAATCCTTTTTTTGGGAACCAGACCAAGGTGATTTCTTCACTTCTTTTTGGAGGTGAGACTGTGAGAGAAGTGACCACTCCATATGCTTGCACACACAGGTTCACCTGCAAACGTACGTGAAGAGGCGTGCATGTTCAAACACCACACACACATACTGACTCTTAAAAGTTTTTAAATAAGAAAAACATAAATAGCATGTTTTCTGATACAGAGCCTCAGATTAGCCATCTGTCTTAAGTGCAGGTAGATTTTGCTTCAAAATCATCTAGAAAATTCTGGGAGGACAGAGGGTAGTGGGGGTAGAAGAGAATTGGATTTAGACTAGTCATTACTGAAGCCACTCATGGATATTAATTATCCTAGCTTGTCAAATCTTACATGTTGTTAAGTCACTTCTGTCAAGCAGGTTTTCTTTAGACATGAAGATAATTTTAATTCATGAGCCATCAGTATCTCAGAGAATAGAAGCCACAAGAACTAACCATAATAAATTACAGTGTTCTCTGTACTTGGCTATCCCTAATAACTTGGTAGTGGCCATAGCACTTCAGGTACTTTTTCTAATCCCTAGATCTTTGTTTTTCTGAGAACTGGTCCTCTATTCTAGGCAGGATTGTCTTTGTTCTGACTCTTGTTGTCATTCTTGCAGAGGTGGATCAGTGCTGCCAACCTTGTTGACCTGTTTCTGCTGAGCAGAAATGATGACCAGGAAAGCTTTCTTCAGTACTCTATGTGGAAAGGATAGTCCTTGTGATTTTCTGTTCTGAAAAACAGAATCATGAATGAAAAAGAAACAAACAAACAAACAACAGGAATAGGTATTTTTGGTGTGTGTGTGTGTGTGTTGAGACAAGGTTTCTTTGTGCAGCTCTGGCTGTTCTGGAACACACTCTGTAGACCAGGCTGGCCTCAAACTAAGCAATCCATCTACCTCTGCCTCCCTACTGGGATTAAAGGCATGCCCCACAAACCGTCCCATGGAACTGTTTTTTTTTTAAAGGAAACATTTTTAAGAGACAGAGTTGTATTTTTCTAACTCTCTAGTATATAAATTGGTTAGTGTCTTTATTCACTGATCAAAATATGGTTTAATTAAGCTTGAAACATAAAAATACCTACTCAAGAACCAGCCATCAAGTAAGCAAAGAAGAGGGACTTACGTGGGGAATGTGACCAAGCGGAAATTCTTGTTCAGGCTGAATAGTTCCTCCATGTCTTTCTCTGTTAATTCAAAATCAAATACCTGGAACCAAAATCAGACAATCATAGGGAATTCACAGTCACCCCATGTAACTGGCATCTGTCTTCCCTGGACACCAAGATGTGAAAGAAACTCTTCATTAGACACCTAGAACTTCCCCTGAAAGGCAGCTGAACCTCCCAAACATGTTGATTTTTATCACTTGACTGACACCACATTAGCCTCACTTACATTTAAGAGAACTTGAAAAGATGAGCAAAATATTGTTTTTATCTTATGGGAGGGAATGAGGAACACAGGGAAAGAGTCAGAAATGCAAAGTACTTTCTCCGCTGGAAAAAAAAAAAAGGAAAAATCTTTGTTCCTCCTACCTGATCAACTAGAAAGCCAGCTGGTACTGACTCTAGCAGCATTAAAATCATAGAAAAAACTTTTTGAGGAATTTCATTTTCAAATAGTACTCTTACCTCTCCTCTCCATTTCCCCTCTGACACACTTGAGGATCTACCACACTATGATCAACTTCCTAAATAACAGTATCTCACAGTGACTATGACCCACCATGGCTGAGGGTCTAAGTCCAAGGAGGATGAATAGAAGAATGCCCAGTGGCTTTACCATGCCCTAAGTGGTAGAATCTGTGGGAATGCAACCCCTACCTGAGGAAAATGCCTGTCCTCAGGTCTGGCCAAAACCACCCACACTGTATGTAGAGGAACTGTAGAGAGGCAGCCTGAGTGCGGGAACAGTTTAAACTGATGGGGAAAAGTAAACAGTACTAGAATTGATACTAAAATCAAGGCTGGTATCACTGTGGGGCAGCCATACAGAATGGTACTTTGATTTGTCACAGAGAGTATAGATCTAGGGCCTGGATTAAAAGACTTTGGCCGGCTCAGAAGAGAAGCCCATAGCCTACTATCCTTGATACTTTTCCTCCAGTTAAGCTCATGTACTCAACCTCCTGCTCCTCCAGATCTTACTGGCTGGCACTCTCTTGAGCCTCTCATATACTGACACTGTTCTCTGTCCTTAGTAGCGGATCCCATTTCTGGTCTGATTCCTGGTTGAGTTTTAAAAGATTATCTTCAAAAAGGCTGCTCTCAGTCCGTATTTTGTACATGTTCTTGCTAAGTCAGATGTCTGGGGCATTAGTTTTCACTGACTCTGAGTTATCACTAGGCAGGAGTGGGGAATGTAACTCCCAGAGCTGCTGCACTCAAGATAGCAGTGGACATCCCCACATGGCCCAGACTGGCTGCATGTTCACCAACCCCGTATTCTTTCCTCCTGAGCACTGGACATATCTAACTTCCCCTGAGGGTCAGTGTGGCAGGCAACATCCAGTCCTAGGAAAGTTGGGGGCAGGGGACATGAAATAGTAAGAGCTTGCCCTGACTCACTAGGTCAAAGGCTGACCACCAATACAGTTTACAGAGGAATACACCTCTGCCGGGCAAAGGCCAGAGAGATCCGGGAGTTGTTCATTGCAGAGGTTAACCAGCCCTTGTAAAGTCATGATCAGGATATGCCCACCTGGATATTCTCTCTAATCCGACTTGGGGTGACAGATTTGGGAATCACTATCAGGTTCCTTTGGATCAGAAATCGGATCAAAATCTGTAGGAAAGAAAGTTTCATGCAACAATAAAACAGATGGAATAAAAGATAAGGCATTACAATATTTCATTTTCATTATACAGTCTCTTCATCTCAAACTCCTTTAAGGATCAAACTGAACGGCTTTGTCAATATGTCTGTAATGACGGCCATCAGCCCAAGGAGATCACAGGATCCACCCACGACTTTACTAGACTCCTTCAGCAAGTGCCCAATTCTCCCAGGTGACCAGGGCCTTAGAGTAAGGCTGACTTTAATGACTGGTCTCTTACACTGGTTGTCCCTGCAGTTGGTGAAGCAGAGGAAGTGGCATTAGAGGGCATCCTGAGTGCTGGCAGTTGAGGGAGGCAGGGAATATGGCTTGACTGGATGTGAACATGGAAGCAACCAAATTATCACTCCAAATTGAGAAGTTCTGGTGAATCAACTCATCCTAGAAATTGGCACAGCTCAGGACTGTGGGGAAAAGGACATGGAAGAGTGTGACCCTAGCACATGGCAGTTCTTCCCACGTACCTGAGCACAAGACTTCCCGTGCTTCTTTGCTATCTTCTGAATGACAGGGTGATCCATCAAGTCAACCCCTTTACTAAAGAGGCACAGCAAAGCGTGCAGAGTTGGGACGTTAGTGAACACAGTGCTAGAAGAAATTACTTTTCTCTATAATTAAAATTTTATTGATTTTAAAATTTATTTTACTTCTTTTATTGATTGATTGATTAATTGATTGATTGATTTTTTCGGGTAACTCACTTAGTAGCCCTGGCTGGCCTCAAACCCAGTCCCCTTGATTCTGCCTCCCGAGTGCTGGGATTACTGGCAGGTGTCAACAGGGCTGGGTAAGATTTACTATTTTCTAATAACAACAAATTTTAGTACAAGAGATTTTTTTAAGACTATGATAGCATCTATCAAAAACCTACCCAAGCAAGAGTACAAGTAAGCCATTTTATTTTGCTTTAGATAGGGTGTCATGTCTGGCTTTGATATTGCTATACAGCCTCAGAATGACTTTGAACTTCTGATCCCTCTGCCTGCTCTCCCAAGTGCCAGGGTTATAGGTGGGCACTACCACCCTTGTCTATACAGCACTAGGGATTGAATGCAGCAAACCATCTTATTGAGCAGCTAACAGATTTCAAGCATTGAGCTAGTCACAGCACTCAATGTGTCCAGAATGAACCATACTGAGCAGGTGTTATCTTTCAATACACGCCTCACTCTCTCGATCAGAGATCCTTCTACCCCAAGGCTCAGCTGTAAAATGTGCCCCAGACTTTCAGGAGCTCTCCAAGTTCAAATATGCACACCCTATTTTATATGGGAAACACAGAGACAATAATATTGAAGTCATTCTGGCCTTTCCTGGCTTCCTAATAGTTCCCTGTCACCAAGCTTGAGGCTCAGAGTAGACTATAAGAGACGGCTTCTTCATTTTAACTAACACCAGTGACAAACAGTACAAAGATACCCAATGCAGTAGATAGCAAAAGGGAATGGAGATGAGATGTGATGACAAGAACAATGCACCAAATCAAAAAGGGCTAATGGAAACTTCCTGAAGGGTACAGTACTGGGCTGAACATGACATCAGACACAAGAGCAAGCAAACCCTACGAGAGCATCTAGTGTCTGTTAGCATGCAGGTTAGTACAGTCCTTACCTTGTTAGATAGTCCTTACCTTGAGCCACCAAGAGGACGATAAGCAGTCACAGACACATTATTTTCAAGGCAGAAAGCAATCAGATTCTTCTGATTAAGATATGGATGACATTCAATCTACAAGCAGAACCACAGTGCACCCAAATAATTCAGAGAAGTAGCATGCTAGTAGCATACCGAACAGTAGAGATACTCAACATCTTCACCATCCATAACTAGGTACAAGGCCCTTCTTAAGACCCAGTTGGGGCTGGGGAGATGACTTAGAGGTGAGGAGAACTGACTGTTCTTCCAGAGGTCCTGAGTTCAATTCCAAGCAACCACATGATGACTAACAACCATCTATAATGAGATCTGGTGCCCTCTTCTAGTATGCATGTGTACATGCTGACAGAACACTGTATATATAATAAAATAAATCTTAAAAAAAAAAAAAGAAAAGACTTGGTCATCTCCATCTACAAATGTGTAGGTTCGTCTCTGCCATCTTCAAGATGCCAGATGCTATAAATGGCCTGGAGTCCTCAGACTCTCCTACATCATTCAGACATTCCAACATCATCTGTTCAGTGAGGTTTTCTTCCATCATGCAGGAAAAAAACCTGACCATGCCAAATCTACCCCCGTTCTCTCCTGCCCTTCTAGTTTCTGCTATAGCATTTATATTACTCAGTACCCCACACATTTAGTTTGCTTATTGGCTCTCTTTTGTCACCAGGATTTGAGTTTCAAACACAAGCCTTGAGAGAAAGTATTTCTGCCTTCTCCATTTTCTCATGCGCAGTTCCAGGTTATAAACAGACTTATTTAGGATGAGTTGAAGAGAATTATGAACTGTGCTTTAGCTCTCGGGATCATGCCACATTCCACAAGATCAACTTCCAAAGAGGTCTCAATTGCAGGTTTGTTTGATGTCCTCTGCAGCATGTACTTGTTACATGAAGTTATCAAATTTCATCCATTCAACAAATATTTATTAAAAAAACTTTACATGTCCTCTGTCAGATATAACTAGAATCTGGAAACAACCCAAATGTCCCTCAACTGAAGAATGGATACAGAAATTTCTCGTACATTTATACAATGGAATACTACTCAGCAATTAAAAACAAGGAAATCATGAAATTTGCAGGCAAATGGTGGGAATTAGAAAACACCATCCTGAGTAAGGTAACCCAGAAGCAGAAAGACACACATGGTATACACTCTCATATAAGCAGATATTAGACATGTAATATATGATAAACATACTAAAATCTATACACCTAAAGAAGCTAAGCAAGAAGCAGGACCCTGGGTAAGATGACCATTCACAAAGGCAAATGGGATAGACATCTGAAGAGGGAGAAAACAGGGAACAGGACAGGAGCCCACCACAAAAGGCCTCTGAAAGACTCTACCCAGCATGGTATTAAAGCAGATGCTGAGACTCATAGCCAAACTTTGGGCAGAGTGCAGGGAATCTTATGAAAGAAGGGGGATATAGAAAGACCTGGAAGGGATAGGAGCTCCACAAGGAGAAGAACAGAACCAGAAAATCTGGGGCCAGGTGTCTTTTCTGAGACTGATACTCCAACCAAGGACCATTCATGGAGATAACCTAGAACCCCTGCACAGATGTAGCCCGTGGCAGCTCAGTGTCCAAGTGCGTACCCTAGTAAGGGGAAGAGGGACTAATTCTGACATAAGCTCAGTGGCTGGTTTTTGATCACCTCCCCCTGCAGGGGTGAGGGTACAGCCTTACCAGGCCACAGAAGACAATGCAGGTAGTCTTGATGAGACCTGATAGGCTAGGGTCAGAAGGAAAGGGAGGAAAACCTCCCCTATCAATGGACTCGGGGAGGGGCATGGGAGGGGGAGAGGGAGGGAGGAAAGGATTGAGAGGGTACGAGGGAGGGGGCTACAGCTGGGATACAAAGTGAATAAATTGCAATAAACAAACAAACAAACCACCAAACAAATAAATAATGCCCAGGTTGTTGTCACATGCCCAGGTTGTTCTCAGTTTGGGACTACTCCTACAACCGAATTCAAACAAAAAAATCTCTATGGTCATTAAGCACGAATCTCGGTAACAAATAGCCTGCAAACATATAAAATGTGTGACCTTCTGGGTAGGATATGTGCTGTAGCAGAATGTGAAGGACTGGCAGGAGAAGATTCAGTTCTGCACCCTGCCAGCATTGGTGAAGACAGTGTTGTTCACTACTCTTCTGCTGGCAGTTTGCATGTGCTGGGAAAACGAAAGGGAAAGGGTGCTTTTCTTTCATTGGGATGAAGGGTCTGTGAGATCCCTGCTCTTCGGTACACACTTGATCATCTGCCTCGAAAAACATGCCAAGAATCGAGATCCATGTTGTGCGTTATTCACCCATGCCATCACCTAACCATATGAACCATAATGAAAGACACCCGCACCCTGACTGACAACAGGCAAAGGAACAACTTGGTGGTAGTGGTGCTCTCGTATCTTTGGCGAGGGGCAGACCAGATGGCAGTCATTTGTTCAACCCTAGTTTGATGCCTGGCTTGGTGGACAAAGCTGTCTTTATCTCTAGGACTCATAAAAATAAAATAAAATCAGATCAGATCTAGGCGACACAGCACAAGAGGAGGAAGACAAACAGACCTGTGGACTGCCATGCCACTCACAGACCTGCCCTCTAGCACACGGCACAGGCAGGGCATAGGCACCCGCTTGCTGTCATGCCACACAGCAGGGATGGAGGATGTCCACCTAGGGGCCTGTCAGCCGTGTAGGCAGCCTGCAGTGGGAGCCATCACATTGTGTGAGTACATGGTCAGATGGAAGAGAAAGAGAGGTGGATCAGCTTCAGCATTATTAAGAGAGATGAAACTGTAGACTCAAAGGTGGAGAGGAGAAGCCTGTTATAAGAGGCCAGTCCTGCCAACTGGGGCCATAGTGAGGTCCCAGCCCAAGCTGACACTGAGGGCCATGTCTGAGTCTATGATATGCAGTAGCAGGAGTCTGAATCAATGTTTGTGGCTCATATTACCAGAACTTGGGGGCATCCTTGTTTGGGGCAACTGCCTGGGACATGTGGATATCCAGGTGCTGTGCATAATAAGCCCCACCCTCACTGGTTGCTGCTCTCTGGAGAGCTAGCCCCATAGCTCACCTGAAGAGCAGGCCCTGCAGGCCTCACCCAGGCAGCACAGTGGAGCTGGCCCTGGTGGTGGGAGTGTGGGTGAGCCTGCGCCTACAGTGTGAGTGTGGGAGAACTGACCCTGCCACTCACCTGCTATGAGGTGCACAAGCACAGAGGGGGTACCCTCTACTCCCTCACTCCCTGCCAGCAGTCAGGAGACTGCCCTGGGGTCATGAGAGTGGGTGAGTTGGCCCTGACCCTCACCAGCTACAGCACTCTGGAGAACAGGCCCTGCACCTTGCCTGGACAGCACAGCAGAGCTGACCCTGGTTGAGGGGGCCCAGATGACTGAGCACTGAGTGCTAGAGTGCAGGAATGCTGGCCTTGTGTCTCATCTGCCATGAGGTAGCCTTGGTGGGAGAGTAGGAGGAAAGATGCACTCTGCCCCCTTGTCCCTCGCCACCTGAGGCAGTTGGGAGAGCTGACCCCATGGCCACGGGAGTGGGTAAGCTGGCCCTGCCCTTCTATGGCTGTAGCAATTTGAAGAGCCGGCCCTACAAGTGCCCTGGGCAGCATAGTAGTGCTGGCCCTGGTCAAGGGAGATTGGTTGAGCCATCTTTGAGGACAGAGCCACTTGTCTGCTATTATCTTGCTTAAGTGTCCAGGTGATGGCCTCCCTACCCTCTGTCCCTCACCATTTGAGTGCAAAAGTATGGGAAGCTCATCCCGCCACTTGTCTGCCTGCCATGAATATCCTGGGGATGGGGTAGGGTGGAGGCCCTCAGCCCTTAACACCCGAGGCAGTCAGGAGAGCTGACTTTGTGGCCATGAGAGTGGATGAGCTGGCCCTGCCCTTGGCTGATGCTGGCTGTAGCTCTTGGGAAACCGGGCCCTGGACCTCACCAGGGAAGCAGTGAAGCTGGCCCTTGATAGCAGAGGTACAGGTGAGTTAGCCCTGAAGGTCTGAGAGTGGGAAAGTTGGATGAGACCCTCACAGCATCACTTGTGAGAGTGGACATTGCGCCTTGATTGGGCAGCACAGTGGAACCAGCTTTGTAAGTATGGGTGTGGGTGAGGGGTGAGCTGGCCCTGAGGGCATGAGAACAGGAGAGCTGACCCTGCCTCTTGCCAATGATGGCATTGGATGGCCTAGCTGGAACAGAGCTGGAGAGCTGGCCCTGGTGGTGTGGATAAGGGAAAGCCATTGAGCTGACCTGCTCAGATACCCTCAGGACCAGATACAGGGATCTGATTGGCCCACCCCAAAAATCTGTATCATCTGTGAAACATTGGGATGCATGAAAGGGCCAGTCATGCTGTTCCAACTGCTGGATTTTCATGACACAGAGCAATAGGATAACTGGGAGGAGTCCCAAAGAGGATCCAATATTGACGGTGTCACAAAAGCCAAAGATTTCGAACCAGACCAATGGACTCACTGCAATGAACATCTGAAAGTGAAGATGTGTGGACAGAGGAATATACTGAGGAACACAATGTGACAGACTAAAACTTTGAGGATGAGTGTATTCTATGCTCTGTTTTTGTTTGTGTGTGTGTGTGTGTGTGTGTGTGTGTGTGTGTGTGTATTAATTTGGGGAGATGCTACAAGGGCTAAAGGTAGACATGAGAGGATGGGGAGAGGAGGGAACTGGGATGCATGCTGTGAAATTCACAAAGACTCAATAGAAAGTTAAGAAAAAAGGAGTAGTTCTGATAGGACCACCTTCTACACACTCTCACTTCCATGATGCAGCTTGTAATGAAACTGTTAAGGACTGGCTCAGAAGATATGGAGTTGATGGAGACGAGTTACCTGAATGAACTCTCTCTGACTTAACAGCTACTTACAGAGCCATGGAGGAGAAAGTGCTAAGTCTGCTGAGCAGAGAATTTTCTAAGTCTTAATCCAAACTTGGCAAGCTGTACTCTGGGACAGAGCTAATTATTTGATTTGCAAATCAGTCAGAGGTTTTAAAACCGAAGCTTTTCCAGGTCTCAGACTTAGTCTTGGTCTAGAGACCCTTTTTCTGAATTTCCCAGGGGTAGGGGGGGGGCGGAGAAAAAAAAATAAGAAAGACACTTGCCCACTGGGCTAGTCATCTGCCTTTTACCTCACTATAATTCTGACAGCTAGAATAGGCAAATATACGTTATATGTCTCACCCACTTCCGTGTGGAGGAAAAACAACAGTGAGAAAGATTTCTGTCCATCTACCTGGTTAGTTATTGGCTTGACTCTCAAACCAGGCTTATTCAAAAGTCTCTCAAGCTGTTCATGGTTAAAGTTTGACACTCCGATATGCTTTACCAGACCCTCAATCACCAGGTCTTCCATGGCCTGAAAGAAAAGAAAATGTGCTAAGTATACAGGTGGTCTAGTTCCCTTCTGAGCCATGCCCCTTAGTGGCTTTGCATTGAGTCCCAACAATCTGAATGCATTTTACTTAAAGTTACAAAACCAAGTGGACATTATCTACATCAGGACCGCCTTAATGTTACCTGGAACAATACACACAATGCATTTAGCCACGGCTGGACCTCAGCATGCATTCAGCATATTTTGTCTGCTCTTACTGCTCTGTTCTGATATGGTCTGTAGTGGCTCTCTCCATGGCTGACTCTATTTACTCACTTTTCTTTCCACTTAGATATTCATCTTGAGCTTGGCAATGGGTCAGCACTCTCGTTTCCCACTCTCGCCATTATACCACCAAGAAATATGTAAATCCTTTGAGGGAAAAGCAATCTGAACTGGGCTGACCTCTGACAGGGGAGCCCTGTACCACAGCTTCAGAAAATCCCTGAGCTTCATGGCAGTGGAGAGTCAGGCAGTGATCGTGAAGACAGTAAGAAGAATTAAGATTCTGCAATAATCACCATGGATAGCCTCAAATTTTACTTATTTATTTATGTTTTTTGGAAACAAGGTTTCTCTGTGTAGTCCTGGCTGTCCTGGCACTCACTCTGTAGTTCAGGCTGACCTTGAATTCATAAAGATCAACCACCCTCTGCCTCCTGAGTACTGAGATTAAAGGAGTGTATCACCAGTACCTGGCTAGCCTTAAGTTTAAACCCCAAATCTTCAATGAGCAGAAGCCAAAGTAGAAAAGTTTAGAATCCTGAGAAGCTCTTTGCTCAGTTTCTTTCTGATTAGTTTCCATGTTTTGAGCTTTCCAGGCTATCAGTACCCAGCCCAGAGATTTCCTGTCTGTTCTGCCCCTCTTGTCTCTCTAAGGAACTGAAACATTGAGAGAGTTTCACTTGAGTTAAAAAGAGAGATCTGTTAAGGTTAAAGTAATGAAAATTCATTTGGTATGCCTTGAGTTTTTCAGGTATTCATCCATAATTCAGACTGTGTGTTAGGTACTTGTTTTGACCAGATTCTCAAAAAGGCAACTTAAGGAAGGGCTTATTTTTGGCTTTCAGTTTTAAAGGTTTTAAAGCGACATTCAGTCATGGTGGGTGAGTCTGGGTAACAGGAGTATGAATGCCATGGTTACATTGCGTCCACTGTGAGGAAACAGATGGAGGAACAGTGGCCTAAGCACCCCTGTTCTTATTCCGTCTAGGACTCGAGTCCATGGAATGATGCTGCCTACATTTAGGGTGACTCCTTTGTATCTTAATCTGATCTAGGAATGTCTTCAAAGACATGCCCAGAGGTTTGAGCTTTATCCAGATGATTCTAGATCATGTCATGCTGACAATCAATATTTAACCATCATGTACCATCATATACGGCAAACCACATATTTGAAGTGCTTCCAGTGTACTTTAACACAGAAGCCCAAGATTTTGTGTAGGTTTCATTCGGCTATTTGTGTGCAGGGTGAAGTGTCCAGGTGGGTCCACTTACCTCCCAAGTGTCCAGAAAGCTGGTGTTACTGGGTATGACCTTGCCATTACTATCAAGAGGTAAGTCTTTTCCTCCGGGCTGTGTGAACCAGAAGAAAAGGAGCTTATTGGGGCTTGTGGCATTCTCCAGCATGAGACTACATAGGGAGAGAATGTAGATCTATAGTCTGCACCTGTGAATTTGCAGCTTAGCCTTGACCCTATCACTAAATCCTACTGTCCTGCCACTTCCCTTCTCCAGGCCTCAGTTGCAATCTTAAGATGAAGTGTGAAGGGAATAAGCCAGCAAAATCTTCTCCAAGAATCTTGAAAAAGATTCTTGAAAAGCTTGAAACTCTGCCTGATTCATATTTTTAAAAACAAGAAATGGGGCTTCCTTCAAGTCTTTCTCCCAACAATATTATTAGGCTCTTCCATCTTCTTTCTAGGACTTCCTGTCAAGATGAGTGATAACCAAATGAGGATACAAAGACTTGGGATGGAGGTTAGAGAAACAGATCTTTACCCTGAGAGGTAAAGACCCAGTCACTCTTCTGAGCAGTGAAAAGGGTTGATGCCTCTCTCGTGACCAATTATACCTTCCTAGTAGGCCACAGGCCAAGTATCAGAAAATATGCAATTAATAATTTCTAATCATTCCAAATGTTGGAAATTCCAGCCTCATTTGTATTTTAGATAAATTTTCTTTGATAAAACACAGAAAACAGTTTTGCTTCCAAGCCCTCTTCCATGCTGACATTTCTCTAGGTCCTTGTAGGAATCAAGCCACAAACTGAGTGGTACCTTGAAGCCCATGGGCCAGTGTATGAGGTAGAGGTCCAGGTAATCCAAGTTTAAGGCCTTCAGGGTATTGGTGCATGCTGTTTTCACCAAAGACTTCTTGTGGTATGTGCACCACAGCTACAGAAGAAAAAGGAGACTATTGTTATAAGGTCACAACCTAACAGGTCATATACCGTTGGTCCTTCCCACCCACCTGCACCTGACAACAAGACAGGACACACCAGGCTCTGAAAGAAGACAGTAGCATTATCCTTAGAAAAGGATTTTTGGGTTTTCCACTGCAGGGAGCCTTCCCTACTAAGGTAAAACACAGGGAGGCACTGAGAGGGAACCCTATGTGGAAAAGATCATTTTTTTTCTCCAGCTCACAGAGTGTTCAAGGTTCCTTCTTCTATACATCTTATATAACCATTCAGGTTAAACTAGGTGAGTTAAAACTGCCTTGTGTTTATTATTTTATATTTATGCAGACACATTTTGTTCTGTAACAATAAATAGAAAAATACATAATTGTTTTTATGTCATTATTCCCCCTGCTGTATTTTTACTAATGGTCATAGAAGCTAACCTGAAGGCTCCATCCAAGTGTAAATAAAAATCAATCAGGTGGGTGGATCAAGACAAGAAAACAAACACCAGCTACAGTACATTAATAAAAATGAGAAAAGGAGCTGGAAGGATGCTCAGTATGGATGAGCACATGCCAGAAGCCGACCAGAGCTCTAATCCTCAGCACCCACATTAAAAAGATGGGTATAGCTTATATTTCTGTGACCCAAAACTGAGGGTCGGGGAGCATAGAGACAGAATGATCTGTGGGGTTTGTCAGCTGCTCGGCTAGCTGAAGTATCAGTGAGAGATCACTAAACCAGGCTGCCCCCTTCTTGGGCTTGAAAGCCATTTTATAGTAATGACAAACTAGGTTCTTTCCTGCTTACAATTAAGTCAGTTTCTCAAGGATTAGCCTATGTCCCACCTGTAACATATATCACACTCATAACACACATGTACACACTGAAAAACAGATATACATACACATCCAGAGAGAAACAGAGAAAGACAAAGGTGAAGAAACCCAAATTAGATATAAACACGTCACATTATTAATAATAATTCCCTTTGTGAATAAACAAATAATTCCCTCAATATTAATTTTATTCAGGTGATTCTACCATCTCTACAATGATCAGCATACTTTCACTGCTGACTATCACCCGCTTGGAAGCAATATGCCCTTTGAAAGCGGAGACTTGGAAATCCCTAGATCTTCATCCCTTTGCCTGAAGATACAGAAGAAAATCTCCCTTCTTAGCAAGCATACCCACAAGCCTCTCGATTCCTCTCTGCTCTATCTTACACAGCAATGACGAGCAACAAAAATCAGTCACTTTAAGTAAAGCAGAAGGTAAGTACAAAATAGAAACACCATTGAAATGTGGAATTATGGGTGCTAGGTCTTACACTTTTCATGAGTTCATCAAATTCAATCCCTCATTTAAAAAATGCTGATATTGGGACCCTGCCCCTGAGCTATATAATAACCTGGGCCAAGCTCCTGGAACTTAAACATATGGCTGTTGTCTGCTATTAACTCCTTAGATCGAGGTTAAACAAAAGCAGCAGCTGCTGCTTCTCCTCCTCCTTCTTCTTTTTCTTCTTCTTCTTTTTCTTCTTCTTCTTCCTCCTCCTCCTCCTCCTCTTCTTCTTCCTTCTTCTTCTTCCTTCTCCTCCTCCTCCTCTTCTTCTTCTTCTTCCTTCTCCTCCTCCTCCTCCTCTTCTTCTTCTTCTTCCTTCTCCTCCTCCTCCTCCTCCTCCTTCGAGACACAATCTCATTACATAGCTCTAGTTATCCTGAAAATAGCTTTGTAGACAGGGCTGGCCTGGTCATGAACTCACAGAGTTCTGGGAGTGCTGAGATTAAAGGTATGTGCCATTCCACCCGGCAAAGAAACGCAGCTTTAAGTCTTATTTTAACTTTGTGTTTTCAACAGGGCTTATTTCCTTACTCTTTCTTATCCACTTCCTCTTCATCCCCTTCTCACTATGCCACCAGTCATTCATTACCTCTCACCTGCACTGTTACTAATACTATTTAAAGTACATGCTCCTGTCAGATACCAATATGTCCTAAACACATGTCTCACTCACGTGTAAAAGCAACTACCTGACTTAGAAAGTTTTTGTTTTCAACGTGCTAAGTTTTAAAGAAAAGTATAGGCTTCTCACATGCAGGGCTTTTGTGACTTGAACCCTGTCCATTTCTTCAGTCTTTCTCTGTGTTTGTGCACATCTTATGTCTGATTTGCTTCCTGTTTGTAAAGTTATCATAACGGCATCAGTTTCTTAGAGTGAAGTTTGGAATGTGCACTTTAGCCATCACTAGCAGGTGATTCCAAGTTTAGGCATCCCTGTGTAGACAGAGTTCACAGGGCTAGAATTTTATTCTGTTCATCACAGACCAAAATTTGTGTTCCTGAATATATTGTTGATTGGTGGTGTCTCTGCCTATCCATCTGAACAGCCAAATTAAAAACAAACAAACAAGCCCTCCCAAACAAAGACATAAGCAAACCAACACATGCTGAATTTCACATGTTCATGAAGCTGGAGAAGAATCAACTGCAAACCAAAGTCCCCAGTTACCATAAGAAGTTGAAAAATCTCCTAGGCTAGATTATTCCAGCTTTTCCAGTACCCATCACTGCAGAGGCCGAGACCCTGCTGTCCCGGGAGCCGAGTAGCCTTACCTTACTGACAATGAAGAGCTCAGCTCTTGTCACCACACCCTCCTGGATCATGGAGTGGATTCCCATTCCAACCTCATTCTCATTGTGGTATAAATAAGCACAATCAAAGTGCCGGTACCCCAGGCAGATAGCCACCTTCACCGCATCAGCCACTTCTCCTGGAGAGGCCTGCAATGGAATCAAACACAAGCATTTCTTCCACCATCAGGGTAACCCAGCTCTGTTTCTCCCTCGTCACCTAGGAACGTAGAACCAAGTACAAAAGCAGCATTAATGGCAGCTACAGCTAAAGTTAGAGAGGGCCAGGATCAGAATGTGGTTAATTTTGTTCGGCTCCTTTTCTCGTCTGGGGAAAGACCACAGGCATTTTCAGCTCTTGCAGAGGACTGAGCTGCATGTCTGTCTCCATTCCTGAATAATTGTGGAATGGTAACCATAGCCGGGGCATGAAGCAGCCTGAACGCTACCACTCAGGGATGCTTGAATCAACTGTAAAGGTAACACAGGTCTCTATGCTCACAAAGAGGACACATCAGACACCTGTGTATTGAATATACAGGAAAGTTTAATAATACACAGTATACATTTCCAATAAACCTAAAAACTGTAGCCTAAGCTAGCCTTGAATTTGAGCTCTTCCTTGCTTTGCTGTAAAGTTTACTTGGTTATCATATCAAAGCAACATATATCTACCATAGCTACATTAGTTAGGACTACCAGTCAATGTCATGTTTTGCTAGTTTTCTCCTTGCACAGTTTTTGAAATTCATATATACAAACACACACACACACACACAACCATCTCCCTACCCATTCAGCTTCATGTTCATTCTCTATTTAAAAAACACTTTACCAACATACAACATGTACTTAGCAAACAGTGTAACTACTAGCAAATATCTCTACTGTCATTAAGTGAAAGCCAGAAGTAGACATAAACTTACATTAACACGATTATTTAACTCTTTTTCTTTTCTTTCGGTTTATTTTAGCATGCAAAGCAGCATACTTCCTTGTGGCCGTTTCATACATACTTAATTTTGATGTGCAAAGAGGGTGAGTAAGTACTACATGGCACAAATGTTGTTTGTTTGTTTGTTTGTTTGTTTTTTGAGTGAGGGGCTCCGTAACTAGCTCGTACAAGGCTGGGTTCAGGATCGCTTTGCTTTATATAAAAGCCAAACTGCTTTTCAACCTGGCAGGGAGCAGGTGTTCAGAAATTGTAAAAGCGGCTTCCCAAGAGGGAGCCTGACCTCTCTCCTCTTATCCCTCTTCAGGCAGGACCTTGATCAGAGCCCGGGTCTGGAAAGAGTCGCCCTAGGCAAAAGAAGTCCTGCGTCCCGGTCCTTACCTTCCAGGTGCCCAGACCCAGTTTAGGGATAGGCATCTCACTCATGGCTCCCCTCGGCCCACAGGCTCAGCCGCCAACTTGCACCGGAGGTACAACGCTGTGGCCAAGGGCTCCCGGCTTGGAAGAAAGTCTTGTCAAGATAATGCTGTGATTGGCTGGAATTTGGGCATTCTAATTGGCTGACAGAGAGACGGAGGTTTATGTGATTGGCTGGTAGGCTGGTCCATCTTTCAGAGAACCGAAGCGACTGAGTTTGGTTGTGAATTTCTGTCAGAAATCCTCTGGGATCCTAGGAGTCCTGTCTCCTAGCAACCTGGCTAAATCAAAGTCCATTGCACAGTGCTTCGAGGAAACAGGATAGGTTACAGGTTTATTTCCTGGACATCAGATGTAGACAGATGTTCGTTCCTAGTATACTGGAAAATAATTGGTTTGAGTATATTAACTATTTGTCTTGCAAACTTGCAATGATTACTTCAAGGAGGGTTTATTATTTTGACTTTTAAAAATATTAATAGATTAAAATATTACCTCTGAACAGGGAAATTTTTATTTCTTCCTTCTCATTCTATAAATGCTTTATCTTGCCCCTTTGCTTATTTGTTTTAGATGTTTTTGTGTTTTTTTTCATGCTGAAAAATATAAGAAAGTCATTGCCATGTTCCTAATAATGGAAAATACGATATGAACACAATTTTCCCAGGATATGTCTTATGGAATTAGAAAATCAGGATTTAATGTTAGAATCTCTGGAAGATCATTTGCTTACTGCTTCCAATGGCTTCTTTGACAAATGCTTTTGTACAGTGTCATGCATCCTGCCACTCAAAGTATGAGTGGGTCTTGTCACAGTATCCAGCAACTAAGTATTGTAATAGGTAAGGATTTGTAACTGAAATCACATTATTCTCAAGCGTTGTCTTCTGTGGCATTTACTTTTTGTAGTTGTTGTCTTGGTGATTTGGTTACCGTAAAGTACACTGCTTTGTAACAAGTGGCTTGCAGTCTCTCCTGGGCGTAGGTAAAATGTAGCATGTTTGAGAGAGGAAATTAGAAAAGCTCACGTGTAAATGCAGTATGTCCTGCAATAAAAAAGTTGCACAGGATAGAATTAGGGCAGAATTAAATTCAACAAAACTTCAGAAAGAAATAAGTTATGAGCTGGAAATGATTAGTATAAATTTTAAGGTAGGCAGCACTGATGAATGGAAGCGGTGATTAAACTGTTTCAGTTAAAGGTTCTCCACATAGAACATAGTATGAAAGGGGAAAGAAGAAAAGTAAAAGATTTACTTTTAAACATGTATTTGTGAATGGAGGAGGTTGTTCAGAGATTTACAGTACCGGTTGCTCAAACATTAGGATTGACTTTTGGATAACAAGCCAGGCATGCCCATGAACCCTGCCCATGACCATAATAACAATTAGTAATAAAGGAAGCCATGAACTTGAAAGAAATCAGGGGGTGTGTGGGCATGTTTTAAAGGAGGAAAAGAGAGAAGTGTAATTGTAATTGTGAAAAAAGTTTGGCCTTCCCATAAGACAATCCCTCAGAGGTAGGCCCAGGGGACCATCTCCCAGATGGTCATTGAATTGATAGTAATCTTAAAATCACAAGGTGAATTATCCATAAGGAACCAGGAAAGGAAAGGAAGAAGGTGAATGGCTATTTTGAAAAATATCAGCATAATGCTTGAATTTTACACCCTTTGTTTTGTTTATTAATAATTTAGCAAAACTCAATAATTTTACATTGTCTGACTAGGATCAGCAGAGTAAGCCAACCACTTTTTCCTTTGTCCATTACTGTATTACATATCAGATCTGCTCAATTGTTTGAGCTTTGCATGTGCTCATGGCAGACATTCTGTGGATGTGAAAAACTGTCTATCTTCTTTTTCTCTTTATTTGTTTGTATTTTGTAAAATTTGCAAAGTTAAACCCTTAACTGTAAGACAACGTTTCAGAGATTTTGATTATAAACATTTCTTTATAAGAGAATTCATTTTGAGATGTCAAATATTGTTAGTACTAGCTGCGATAGGCTTTTTATTACTCATAGCCATGCTTAGTTTTAGCCATGATGCTACAGAAATATTATCCTTTCTTTAAATGATTTCTATCATTTCATAAAAGCTTAGTTTGATTTAGTGATGCTTTCTTTTCTAATGGTCATGTCAAACTTCTTAGGTAATAATTTAGGAGAATAGGATAAATGCTACAGATGTAAATCCTTGAAAAAATACATACACACATACATACATACACACATGCCTACACATAATGCAAATGTATACATACATACATATACGTATATGCATATACTTATATCTTCTCAATTATTTATTCAAGAAACACAACATATTTTGGTCAATACAAATAACAATGGGACAAGGTGAAATATAGCTTAAAATAATTATGAACTATTTGCATGTTGGTAAATTAATTTTATACATGCATTTTAATAAATAGCATTTTAGAATTCATATTTTATTCTTGGTTATTTATAGACGATAGTGAGAAAATTCACCAAATGTAAGTCAGAAGTAGATAACTACAGAGGAGGTACTTCACCTGAAGTACTTTGGAAATATTTATAATGATTATATTAAAAATAATAAAAAAGAAAAAACATTAAAAAAGAGGCAGGCAGATCTTAAGTTCAAGGCCAGCCTGATCTACAGAGCAAGTTCTAGGACAGCCAGAGCTACACAGCGAAACCATGTCTCTAGAAAAAAACAAAAAAGCAAAAAAATTAAGAATATACAATTGAGGATAATAATTTGTATGATAAAAGATAGTCCATGATAAAACAGAAATAAAAACAAAACAAACAACAAAATAACAACAACAACAAAAAAAACCCTACAACAAAACAAAACAAACAAGAACAACAAAAACCCTCATGGACTTTATAAGTTGGTTCCTTCTGCCACCTTGTGGCCATTCCTCAAAATGCACTACATAAAGATGTATGTATGTGTATAATTACCCATATAAAAGGTATGTATAATATATAAACACACTTGCAAGAATGCATATATTTATAGACATCTATATATATCATATGTGTGATTAATTGGTATTACCTTACTATGTGACACAGGGTACAATGTTTTTCCAAGATATTCTAGTTGCTGTATAAAACGCTTAGCGCCAGGTATATTACACCTTATCTGGAGTTGTTGGCTTGGAGGTCCCAGGGACCTTCAAAACATTATAGGCCATTGACACTTATCTTGGCTGCACACCAGAACTTGATGGTATGATTGTAGTGTTGAAGACACCACATATTCTGGTTATAGGATACAGAGAAATCAAATCGGTACTGATTGGGGGACTTCTTTTCTGCTACCTAGATTGCCTAGTAAGAGAAGGTACTATGTGTGCTGCTGCAGGAGAAAAATGATCAGCAGTTTATCAAGCTATAAACCTTAAAGATGGAATAATGTGCTGCATGGCAACATAATGCCTGAGGACACGCACACATGTGTTGGGGGCCATCTACTACTTTCTGATTGGCTATGAGGTCCATTCCACAGGGTGAAATGCATGCCTGGTAATGTAAATCTAGATAAGAACTCGTGGTTGTGGAGCTCAGAAGCCACAGGGTGTGATCTACTAATAGCATCATGTATCACATAGTATCAAACTATACTCTGGATTTCTATCTATAGACCACGGACTAGTGTAGCTCTCACATTTTGTCAGACATGTCTTTGTATAGTAGAGAAATGAATACAGAAACGCACAACTGTTCAATGTACAGAAAAGAACTGTTTGTGAAGTGTTCACTCACAGATGAGACAACTATATCATACCCCTCTTCGCATGACTTAGGAGTCACTTCAGGAGAGGCGGGGGTAGAAAGATCGTAAGAGTCAGGAGTTGGAAAGGACTAAATGCTTTCTGCACATGATAATACCAGCTGTGATTGCCTGCACAAAACCTAAACACAGGCAAGCCAGTTGCAGGCTCAGTATGAAAGGTGGAGGAGTCATCAGGCCCCTAGCTGATGAGATGTTCATAGATGACAGATTCTGGAGGAAATGTAGTTAGTTTTCTTAGAGTGTATAGTTTCTGGTAAGTCAACCATAGTCAAGTGTATAGCCACACAGCCCTGAGTCTATGCAAATATGGACAGGACACATTACACTTTATTTGTGTGTGTGTGTGTGTGTGTGTGTGTGTCTGTGAGAGAGACAGAGACAGAGATTGATACAAGCAGAGAGATAGAGAGGGAAAGATGGAGGTGAAGGAGTTTGGAGTGGAGCAGGAGTGGGTAGTGGATCTGGGAGAAGTTAGGGGGAGAAATAGAGATTGAAAATAATAAAAATGCATTGGATATGTATGTGAATTTCTCACAGATTTAATACAAAAAGAATAGTAACAACCTCATACAAAGATATATATTAGTAGAGAAATTACTATCATCAATAGACATAATTTACAGTACACCACTGAAGCAGGATATACAATTTTTTCTGAATATTTGGTGCCTTCACTAAAAGCAACAATATTCTGGACCATGTAGATATGTAAATATGCTTAAGTGTATAAAATACAACAGCATTTGCTCTTTGAACTCCAAGTTGTTTCTCCAGGTATGGGTGGACAGAATTCGGAAGGGAAAAACCTGCAGCAGAGGCTTGTAGTCGCCTGTGACCACCAATAGTAACCGCCTGCACAAGGGGCTGGAAATTAAAAGAGACAGAGAACACGAAGAGGGACACCAAGACAGTGCTCTACTCAAGGAGCCATCTTTATTACAGAGTAAACCACTTATATAGGCAAACCACAAGGGACTTTCCGAGTAAACATATCCAAGCAAAACAGGAAACTTAATCAAGCCAAACAGAAGATTTAACCAAGCAAAACAGGAAGTATCTGCTGAAAACAACAAGAGTAGTGAGTCAGCATGACTTGCATGCACATGACCACCTCAGGTCCAATGGAATGGCTACCTCAGTTTCTCCTTTTTCATTTATGACCAAAGACTCATAAGGCTTTTTTCTTTTAATACAATAATAATGATGAGATTATGAAAACTATTAGGTAAAATCTACATGTGCAATGACCAGTCTATGTATATTTAGAAACTTAGGAGAAAGTATATGATTATCCTATCTATCT